CAGATTTTGGGAAAGTTAAACGTTCGCTGTAGTTTTTTTCGGTGTTATCACCTTGTTTATTTTTCGTTGGTACAGTCGTAGGCCCCCTTGAGGCCGGTTGTATACGGTGGGTGCTCTATATGTATGGCATGTTCAATGCGCTGACACAGACGGAATTATGAAGTTGTCCACACATTGAATAAGCGGGTGCCCCGTGTTGGGTGGGGTGAATCGGCCTGGCTCGTACCCGCGTGATGGAGGGCCTACGACTGCTGTAGATTGTTTTGGGTTGCTGTCGTTTGGTAGTGCACAAATCGCTCAGAACATCCTAAGAGCGGGGCGGTGTCAACCCATCAATGAGCGGCGGAAATATTCAATAAATCTTGGCTCAATTCTATTCGCACTAATCATCCAACCAGACCGCAATCAACCCGTCAATAGGCGACAGAATTTATCAACAAGCGTTGTCTAGTCGCACTAATCATCCAACCAGACCGCAATCAACCCGTCAATAGGCGACAGAATTTATCAACAAGCGTTGTCTAGTCGCACTAATCATCCAACCAGACCGCAATCAACCCGTCAATAGGCGACAGAATTTATCAACAAGCGTTGTCTAGTCGCACTAATCATCCAACCAGACCGCAATCAACCCGTCAATAGGCGACAGAATTTATCAACAAGCGTTGTGTGCCGTCTGATCGCGAATGGTTTTCGGTTGAAAAATTGCGCCGTGGTTTTAGGTGTTGTCCCCATCCATAAGCATTATTTTTTGCTTATTGGCTGGGCGGTAGATGATTAGTTTTGTTTCCACCGCTGTCGTTTGGTTGCGGTTCTGACGTGTGCCTTCGTTTCGTAATTGTTGTTGATGGCGCAAGTTGTTTTTGTGCGCCTTCGAACTCGACAGCCCGGGAAAATATAGACGCACGTGAAGTATTTCGCTAGCTTCAGACACTGGTTGCACGACTGCTCCAATGGGAGACCCTTCCCTCAACCGTCCCACCGCTGTCGCTGCCGAATCTAACATCGCATGTGCGCTGTGCCCGTGCGTGCGTCGCGAGATGAAGTGCTTCGTTATTGTCGCTTCGTGATCTGCTAAATGTATACCATGATCGTGTTTTGTGTTACTTCCCATTTTTTTCGTGGGATATGTACCGTCCCTCTCTCCTCCTCTCTCTCGTTCCCTCTCTCTCTCTCTCCCTCTCTCTCTCTCCCTCTCTCTCTCTCTGCTCTCTCTCGCTCTCTCTCTCTCTCTCTCTCTCTCTCTCTATCTTGACAGTCCGAACCGCAGACCGCGATGTTCAACCTTCTTGCAACGATTGTCGGCGGGGGTGTGCTCTCCTTGCCCTACGCCTTCAGGTGCGGTCGGTTTTATTGTTGTGCTTGTTGTTGTTGTTTGTTGTTGTTGTTGTTGTTGTTGTTGCTGTTGCTGTTGCTGTTATTGTTGTTGTTGGTGGTGGTATTGTCTTTGATGTTGGTTTTTTTGGTTGCTGTTTCGTTGTGGGTGGATGCGGTTCTCGGGACAGGTCCTCACCAACATCTAACAGCCAACAATCCCAGAGTGCTGACCGTCGCGAGGGGGCATGCATAGCGCCACAACAAAAGCCTGACCTCCTCACCTTTGACAATACTGCACCCCTCCCTGACGGACGTGTTCACCGGCATCGTCCTGATCGCCACCGTTGCTTGTTTTTTTCCGTGGGAATCCTTACCAGATTTTTTTTTGTTGTCTCGGGAAAACAGTACGGACAGAACACTGATCCATCCTCTCTTTGTACTACAATGTTCACCGAAACGGTTGCCTGCTAATTATCTTACCCTTGTGTGGGGATCCTTGCCGGAAACATGTGTTGCTGCGGTGCCGGGGGAAACCGCGATGAAAAGGCTGACGGGCGTGCTCACCGGCATCGTCCTGATCGCCCTGGCCGCTGTGGCGGGAGACTTTTCCCTGTACATGCTCTGCTCGTGTGCCAGAAGGACCGGACAGATAACCTTCGTCGAGGTGTGTGTGCGTCTTGGTTTTCGGGCCTGGGAGGTTCCGCGTTTGTGGGGGGAGAGGGCGGGGGGGGGTGTACTCATAGTCGCGTAGGCCGTAGTCACCAAACCGTTGACCTCGCATCCATACAAAGGCGGGACGGAGTACCCACTCCGGGTTCTCACCGGACCGGGCTAGCACTTACATGAAGCGCGAAGCGCCGTGAGGTTGTTGTATTCGGCGAGTCGCATGGGGGGTGGGTGCGCTGCATCCTGCTGTGTTTGGGTGTGGGAGGGAGGTGCGTGTGTTTGGATTTGCGGCTACCGCGCTAATCGACTGGCCAATGAAGGACTGCAGTCTTCGTTGTTAGCATCGACCGCGCTGAACGGCTGGCCAGTGGAAATACGTCGGTTTCGGTGCGGTTGACAACGGGAAATGTGTGTGTGTGTGTGTTTGTTTGGTTTCTTTTTCGCATCGACCGCGCTACTTGTAACCGGCTGGCCAATGAAAATACTTCACTTCGGCCTCAGTTCGGCTGATAAAAACAGAAAATTGTTCGAAGGGCCATGATGTGGGACCCCGTATGTATGTGTGTGTATGTCTATGTGTGTTGTTTTTCGCATCGACCGCGCGACATGTAACCGGCTGACCATTAAAAATACGCGGGTCTCAGCGCGGCCAAGTACAGCGGGTGCTTGTAAAGGTTGCAAGGGTGTGTTCAGTAGAGTACCTACTCAACCTACTCTCGGGTAGATACTCGAGTATCTACTCTACTCACCCTACTATTAGGTTTAGTACTACTCCCGATACGC